GGACATTTCGTATATTGATGTTCAGATTATTTGTGATGGGCCATTGACTACATGGGCATGTGTCTCTACTCTACCTTCATTTTTATTTTTATTCTTTTGTTGTTTTATTTTATGGATTAACTGCATATTAATATTAATTGCAATATAGTACATGGATTTTTTTAGGACGTGGTTGGATACAAATATTTTCGCTCAGAACGAGTTTTATTTATTAATCGGACTTGACTTTGAAAAAAAAAAATGTTATGATTAGTCATTGGTGAGATTTTGAATTTATATTAAAATAATATTAAAAATAAAATAATTAGAGTTGATTTGTGTAGATATGAGAGATTATATGAAGCATGGCACGAAAATCGATGTGATGTGTAAGAATGATTGTTTGGTATTATTTAATTATATTAATAATATGGAGGATAGCATAGTTAGGTTAAAATTGAGTTTCTGTTGAATGTAGCTTTACGTAACGCTCATTTTATTTTTCCTTGTCTTAATAGGTGCAAGAGTCAGTAGCTCGTGCAATCGACATGTATTCAAGGTACCTTTTTTTTTTTGTTAATTCATTGTATTGATATTGATCCAATAATTTCGTTGTTTCATGTACAGCTCAATTCATGTTGCAAGTATTTTGTGCAACTTTGAAGTCATTCGTCTTTGTTTCTCACCATCGAACAAATAGGTATATAAAGTTTAGATGTGTAAAAAATGGTCAAAGACTACGAGAGCTGAGACCAATGTTGCATAGATTTTTTTCTCAGACGTATGAGTTGCTTAGTGAAGATTTTAGGTTGCTTTGGAGTTGATCGACAACTAAGTAGTCAAGCTTCCTGACCCAAGCTTATAATAATGAGCCACACATATAGTATGAAAGCAAGCAGCCAAAAATCCCAAGTCTCTCCTGCACCATCAAGTGGAACAAACTGCACCTGAATATCAAGGACTAAACGATTACTTAGCCAAGTAAGAATTTGATGAATTGTAATATCTCAATCCCCGAACTTATCAACATATGATGTAAGAGCCTATGGAGTGGGGATGGTATCCCCATTTTGGGATGGATGCACGTGGCAACACATCACCAGTCACAATTTTTTACATTTTTTCTCTAAATTAAAAAGCTTTCATAGATTGTGCTCAAATATTATAATTATCTCCTAATTAGACAACGTTGATAGGAGAATTCACATTTAAACTATCTATATAACAATGAAAAAATATTGTAATAAATAATCACCAACACTATATCGCAATGTAGGTGAAATCAAGTTATGAAACGGGTTTAAGAATCATTCAAGATATCCGTACGAGCATAAATTAAAAGGTCACGAATATGAAAATTGATCGGACCAGAATGTAGCTGACAATGACAGGAGTTGACAGTTGAAAAGGTGGCGGAAAACGGAGGTGTAGATGGTCCACACGCATTGGCGAAAGCTCGCAGTGTCGTAACGGACAAGGGGCGTAAAGTCCACACGTGCAGGCGATTGACCTAAAAATTCCGCCAAAGACTCGCCTCGAGATGCTGGAGAGGATGGCAAGGGGGGTGAGAGTCAGCTATGGTTGGAGATGAGTGACCAAAACCAAGCCTACGATTGACTCAAACTCTAGTTTGATACCATGTAAAAATATGTGGAAATAATTATGTCGTATATCCAATATGACCTAGGTACACATAACTAAAGGTATAAGATGAGACTTAACTTAGATTAAGCCTTAACTTAGGCTATAATAAACAATACAACGATATAATATTATAACAATACATCAGCGTGTTCTTTCAATTGTTTGTTGTCTTGTGTATCAACTCAAGTGCTTGTGCTTGTACAATGAAACAACTTTTAAGTTCATCTATG